GAGACGTACTCAGACAGAGAGACGTACCCAGAAAAAGAGACGTATCCAGACAGGGAAACGTATTCAGAAAGAGAGACGTATTCAGACAAAGAGACGTATTCAGACAGAGAGACGTATTCAGAAAGAGAGACGTATTCAGACAGGGAGACGTACTCAGACAGAGAGATGTACTCAGACAGAGAAACGTATTCAGACAGAGAGACGTATTCAGAAAGAGAGACGTATTCAGACAGAGAGACGTACTCAGACAGAGAGACGTACTCAGACAGAGAGACGTATTCGGACAGGGGGACGTACTCAGACAGGGAGACGTACTCAGACAGGCAGACGTACTCAGACAGTGAAACGTATTCAGAAAGAGAGACGTATTCAGACAGAGAGACGTATTCAGACAGAGAAATGTACTCAGACAGAGAGACGTTCTTAGACAGGGAGACGTACTCAAACAGAGAGATGTACTCAGACAGAGAAACGTATTCAGACAGAGAGACGTATTCAGACAGAGAGACGTATTCAGACAGAGAGACGTATTCAGACAGAGAGACGTATTCAGACAGGGAGACGTACTCAGACAGAGAGACGTATTCGGACAGGGAGACGTACTCAGACAGGGAGACGTACTCAGACAGGCAGACGTACTCAGACAGGCAGACGTACTCAGACAGAGAGACGTATTCGGAAAGAGGGACGTATTCAGACAGGGGGACGTACTCAGACAGGGGGACGTATCCAGACAGGGAAACGTATTCAGAAAGAGAGACGTATTCAGAAAGAGAGACGTATTCAGAAAGAGAGACGTATTCAGACAGAGAGACGTATTCAGAAAGAGTAACGTATTCAGACAGGGAAACGTACTCAGAAAGAGAGACGTATTCGACAGGGAAACGTATTCGGACTGGGAAACGTATTCGGACTGGGAGACGTACTCAGACAGGGAGACGTACTCAGAAAGAGAGACGTATTCGGACAGGGAAACGTATTCAGAAAGAGAGACGTATTCAGAAAGAGAGACGTATTCAAACAGCGAAACGTATTCAGAAATAGAGACGTATTCAGACAGGAAGACGTATTCAGAAAGAGAGACGTATTCAGAAGGAGAGACGTATTCAGACAGGGAGACGTATTCGGAAAGAGAGACGTATTCAGAAGGAGAGACGTATTCAGACAGAGAGACGTATTCGGAAAGAGAGACGTATTCAGAAGGAGAGACGTATTGAGACAGGGAGACGTATTCAGAAAGAGAGACGTATTCAGAAAATGAGACGTACCCGGACATGGAGATGTTCTCGGACTCGTCTATCAAACTTCAACAAACATGTTTTAATAGTAGACACCATGTGTTCATGTCAAACGTGCTCATGAGACAAAACGTCAAGTTGTTCATTAAATGAGAACACAACTATATCAATGTTTTCGGTAAAGATAAATATACTCACAGGATTGACAATGGGTCCTATCGGGGCGGCAGATACATGGGTTCCACCTGCTGCAACCTAAATAAAACATCACGTCAGTTTATAATCCCAATTAAATTAAAACTTCACGAACACTGCTAAAGTAAATTAAGTTTACTGTATCTTGTTAAACAACCCCCCCCCCACCCCCACACACACACACTATATATAAGATTGCATATGATTCTAGATTTAGTGAGATTTTTCGGAAATTAGTCGTACCACTGATTTATGGTATCGGTAGTTAACATTCCAATCTTTAAGAAATATAAAATACAACCTATTAAAACAGCAAAAAAAATACATAATTGAAGGCTTATATCTGCTTCTATTACTTCTAATCTAATATTTTGCTAATATGGCCAATACATATAGTATTGTCACAGTGTAAGGCCTGCGTATTGCTAATGAGAGGGCACCCACAGAATTCACACTGGATAGGGGGTTCTATCACTACTAGAAGCAGGCTATACACTGTGACATTTTGGTGTCAGAAGTGGGATTACTGACAATAGAATCCAAATCAGAATCACAATCCCAATCAGAATCACTATCCCACTTCTGACACCAAAATGTCAGTGTGACAGTGATTTACATAATAAAGGATGTTTACAACTTTGGAAGGACAATTGGAATCCACCAGGTGTGCTGTTATTTGAATAATAAAGGATGTTTATGATCTACTGAGTTGCCTACGTGACACATCTGCTAGCAAGATTACATTCTGATAGGATCATGTGGAAGCCCAGGTGGTGTCCCTGAATCTGGGCCATATATGCCTATAAATTGGATAGGACAGACAGAGGACAGTCATTTCAACTGTGTGTTGCTGCTACAATATTGTGAGACAAGTGATACTGGCTACAACTATCATTCTGTGAGACTTGCATGAACTGCTCTGCGATCTCCTGCTTTCAGCGGTGCCCTCCAGAATAACAGCATTCCTCAGCAAGCAAGACTCCTGTATTTGTTCGTCGTTGTGTTATGGAAGCCATTGACTGTCGTCCATTAATACATCCTGGAACTGTGAGTTATCACCAATGCACACTGTGTGAGTCCAGTGTGAGTTCTGTGGGTGCCATCTCATTAGCGATAAGCAGGCCTTTCACTGCGACGAGTATTTATTTCAACCCCGACTGAATTATTGCATTGACGAAATATTCTTGAAAACAATACTTTTTTAGCTACAGTTTTGTATCATTGTAGCTAGCTTCTTCTCCCATTTTATCTTTATTTAAGTAATTGTGTCAATAGATATCATATAGAGCCCTCAGTACTTCCTGATATAATCGTTTGTACATTTAGCTATTTTTCCTATTTTACTTTTAACATTGTTATTGAGGATGCAATACAATGACATGTTAGTGTTCGATAATGTACCTGTTCGTCCTGGAATTTCACTGATGTGATTCTGACGTCACCATTGATAGCAAGATAGTCGATCTTCTTCAGAGGTCTGACACGGTGTTTATACGCAACATAATGCTGACCGTTGACAGCAACCTGAAAGGACATACAGTTCAATATGTATTACATTCAAATCGATTCATTGTAACTTTTCTAAACAGGGTTCTGTCTATCGGTAATTTTTATGAATGAACCGAATATCTCATTCATATTGATTGATTAATTATATATATATGTAGTCTGAAAATTCTAAAATACCACGTTTCCTCGTCGATAGGCGAGTCGAAGCAAATATACAAGTCAGAGCAGAAAGTCCAAAATGCCTATCAAAAATAAGCTGTCTTTTGATTCGGTGACTGTTAACAGGGTTGGTAGCCAATCAATCACAACCTTGCAAGAAGCTTCGCACTTAGGGGATGAATATCGTGAACTGCGAGTCGATGAAGAATTGGCACAATCTGCGTGAGCCAAACAAAGCCGACGCCCCGTAGATAACCACTCTTCTTCAATAAAAAAAGACAAAAGGTCACAGCACACCATATTTATTAAAGTCGAAATGAAAAAGGTGGCGTTTACATTTCTTTTGAGTCACTGTTATCAGTTGCTATATCCAGTGGGTAGTGCTTGAATGAAGACATTTTATTCGCGAATAAGTATTCTCCCACCGCACGAATTTATGCAATTTGATTGGTTGACTGGATGGGTTCAGTGAGGTTGACTTCTAATTGTAACAAGCAGCCAGTCGGCTGAGATAGCTCCACTGTTAGCAATGCACATTTCAATAAAAAAAACTGAAGATATCATTAGAAAATTAACAATATGTATAGTATCAAAGCAATGGGACTTGCTGTTTTCAACAAGAATTCAAAAATATCACTTTCCATCAAAAATGACAAAAATAATCATCAAAATTAGATAATTGAAGATATCATCACGAAATTAACAAATCTGAAAGAGGTCCACATGTAGTACCTATATATGTAATATCAAAGCAATTGGACTTGCGGTTTTTAACAAGAAGTCGAAAATATCACTTTTTACCAAAAATGACAAAAATATTCACCAAAATTAGAGAATTAAAGATATCATTACAAAATAAACAAATCTGAGAGAGGTCTACCCAAGGTACATATACACCAAGTATCAAAGCATTCAGGCTTGTAGTTTTCAAGAAGTCGAAAAGGTAAAACATTGACAGGGACGACAACGGACAATCGCTCATATGATAAGCTCCGCTCGACAAAGTCTACAGCGGAGCTAAAAAGTTCAAATAAAATTTTGATATTTGCATACAAGTCTGCGTCATAATATCCCTGTAAACATTGCTAACCACTTCAAAACTACAAACAGTTTTGATTTGGTCGATAAATGAAGGATACACTGAAATATTGACTCGGGTGACCCTTTAATCAACTATTCTCAATGCGTTCACATCCAGTTTCTAACATTAGTCACGACTTGATACGGTCTGATCCACTTGACAATGGTGAATATATACCCAATCGAAAGTTCACAATCCTCGAAGATTACAAATATCTGAGTTTAATAAAAGTATAACTAGAACAACTTTCAGTCTAGACTTGTACATATTCTTTTCTTTTTTAAAAGGATTTTTTCTGAGTTGTTTATGCTATTAAAAAAATTTAAATGGCGTGCACACAAAATTCGAGATGACCGCGATTTGTTTTGTCTTTTCGCTATCACTGCACTATTTCCAATTATATACATATTTTTTTTTAAATACAACAAGACTTGTAAGCAAGTCTACATCCAGTCTTGTATCAAATCTAACTACATCATGATGTGGTTATTTTAAACAGTTCATAGTTTGGGTTTTCTTATTTGCATTTAAGCAAGCATCATTTACAACTAACATGTTTAATTTTTGAATATTGAATTTTATTGGCATATGATACCTTAAATTCTTCCTTGTTAGCCAGGATCATTATTTCAAAGTTTTGACCAGGTACGAATGGCTGGTAAAGCACGCCACGTTCCTCGGCACCCCATTTCTCGTTTGTCAACGTATTCCTAACAATATGTCCTGCTTTGACTCGCGCAGCAAAGTGGAATGCAATGTCTGCACGTGGTTTAGTACTGGCACCAATCTGAAAGTTTATAGCGAACCTGGAGGAAACATAACACAAAACCAATAAACATACATACCCCGAACAAACAAACAATTTCTACGTACTGTATGGAACTGGTAAAAATTTTTGTTTTTTGGCAGTTGCAGACGAGTGTGAAGACAGCGTTCGGTTCGATTCGAGTTTAATTCGCGTTAGATTCACGTACGATTGAAACGTCCACTGAAATACTTATAATTCACTCAAATGTTGATATATAGCAATTTCAGATAATATTTTTGAGCGGGTAAAATAGAGATCAATTCAGTATTTTCAGTGGAAATGTGGGTTTAAATACATTCATGGTGCACATGGCGCGTCCGCGAATACGCGGAAGGCCAAAGGACAATGATTATAAATAAAAACATCATCAAACGTCCTTGTTTCAAAGATTTTATTTGTTTATAAATTGAATAGTTTTAATTTGTGGCTACATAATTTTTTATGTTTAATTTTCTGCGTTTCTCGTCTGTTTCTAGGGCTATTTTATACTTGTTTGAGCCCACGTGACATCCGATGTGAGCGAGACTGTAGGACTAATCATAATGATTTTCTTCAAAAGAAATGGTTGATCCCCAACTTTTCTACACATATATTCTATATATAAACTTTTGTGTAAATTATAGATATTTCAATTTGTACATCAATCGAACGCGAATCGAGCCGAACGCTGTTTTCACACTCGTGGGTGCATGATTATAATGACATAAGACATACAAACAAACAAACATACAAACATACAAATTTAAAGTCAACGATTTCTAGGTAATGTAGCTATGTAGTGTACTTAGTAACACTTTCATTTTGTTTCAAATCTAGATTGATAGATTGATCATTGCATTTGTTAGGCTACAATGTTACGTAGTAGTTATTATTGGTTGTGTTATCTACTGTTATTGGTATGGGTGTAATGGTGATACATAATAATTATACATATGCAATGAGATGCCGATATAGGCAGACGAGGACAAGATACGACTGATACACGTAAACGCAATAATAGTAAAAATGTACCTGTCGGCATTTGGGGGAACACTTCCCTGTATGACTACCATTTTCCCAGGTCTCATACATCCGGGGATTTGACCCAGGAAAGGAATGCTCTGAGTAAAAAAAAAAAAATAAATCAATATATATATAGTGGTCGTCACGCAGCCGCGTGTTCGAATTTCATGTAAATAAACAATGTATTTTACACGCGTTGTAGTACTTTGCTATGAGTCCCATATCAAACATGACGCGGCATCACGTCCACCACTCTTTAATTACACCTGTATATGTATCATGTCTCATTCTCCACAGATGTCCAACAGACTGTTAAGTTTTCAATAAAAGCAAAATACCTCACAGACACTTTATGACACCATTTGCTCTAATTGATCGTGATGTAACTTCACGGCAGAGTTTTTTTAATAATACAAACGGCATCGTATTATTTCTACAACGGTGAATGGATATATTTCACTGTGTACAATGTACATGTCAACCTGTCTGGATTCCAGGCATGAGGTAAATCATACTATTCATACACAACACCGGACAATACTATTAATATGTATACGAATAATTCCCGTACCACAGATGTAGTGGGGATTTGAAGCATCGAATCATAGCAACGTGTACGGCAACCGAAGTGGCTCACAACATGGCATTTTATAAAACCATTTTTACAATTCATTTTTATTTTATATTTCATTTTTAATAACCATTTTCGGTTCTGAAATCGATTTTTGTTTCTGTTATCTGTTTTCATTTAAAAAAAATGTTTAAATCCATTTTCGTTTTTTAAATCCATTTTTAAAATCTGTTTTTATTTTCAAATTTCATTGTCGTTTTTAAAATCCATTTTCGTTTTTAAAATCCGTTTTCATTTTCAAAATCCGTTTTCATTTTCAAAATCCATTTTTGATTTCAAAATCCATTTTTGTTTTTTAAATCCATTTTCGTTTTCAAAATCCATTTTCATTTTTAAAATCCACTTTCATTTTTAAAATCTATTTTTTTTTAAAATCCGTTTTTGTTTTTACTAATCCGTTTTTATTTTTAAAATCTATTTTCACGTTTTTGTTGACATTTGAAGTATAGGTATATACGTATTTTTCACGTTGAAGCAAATTTCCCATCATAATTTACATAAAAATCGCTGTTGTTCCCCCGCCTATCGCATTAACTTCAACCGTTTTTACGATAATTGTTTATACAAAGATTTTCATTTCGATTCGATATTCGATTTGTGTTTTGTATCCCAGTTTTGCATATCATTTCAACTTAACCATAGACCTTAAAAGTCTTTTAAGGTCTATGACTTAACCTGATAGTTTTTTTTTTTTTTATTTTAACCAGTGATGTTTCCATGGTAAGACTTCTTTATGTAAGTTCTTCTTCAGGCTATAACTATAGCCGTGGTTCCGCGGCGATTTTGGTCCATCAAGGGTTGTTGGCTAATTCGGTCGGCTTACACTTTCGCGTCAAATGCATTTGTGGTCAGGCTTGTCCACATACGACGTTGCCTTCAAGTTGTTTACCGACAATACCCTACCCGGTACCAAAACGCAGCAAAACCACGGCTATAACTTATTCTAATCAACCTTGGAGCTCTCATTTTATCAGCTGTAATGTTGATACTCAGGTTAGAACAAGTTATAGCTGTGGGTCTGCTGTGTTATCGTACCGGATAAGGTACTGTAGGTATGCAAGGCAGCGTCATCTGTGTGTGTATGTACAGGCATTCCACGCCACAGCGTAAGCCGACAGATAAAGCTAAGAATCCTCTATGCATCCAAAATCGCCGTGGAACCACGGCCAAATAGATTATAGTCTGCAGAAGAAATTATGTAAATAGGCCTTATCATGAAAACGCCACTGGTGGAAATAAAAAAAAAATGCCAGAATCCGAGTTACAATTCCTAGTCATGTGGTATGAGGTCAGAGGGCGAGGTCACAGGTCAAAAAGTGAAAATGAAAATGGATTTTGAAAACGAAAATGGAT